GCGACTGTGGCGACCGATGATAGACAGTGAAGAAGAGTCATGCGGAGCAGGAGGGCTCATTAAAACAGTTGGATGCCTGCTGTGATGGAGGGGAGGAGACGGAGGAGAAGACGGAGAGAAGAGACAAAAGACGGAGGTAAAAAAGCAGATCCAGGTAAAGTGAAGAAGAGAGAGATGCTTTAGAAATAAAAGTATAAGGTGAAGAAAAGGAAGATCTGCGGTGGGGGTGAGGAGTGATGGGTGAGGAGGAGGGGGGGGGGTTATATGGACAGCTCATGAAAGTGCTGGAAGGACTGGAGAAGACAGAGGGATTCCCCCATGGCAGCTGGTCTCTCTGTCTCCATCCTTCTTGCTCTCCTCCCAGTATCCCTCCTTCTTTTCTCCCAATAAATCATCCTGACTTCTCCTTAACCAACTCATTCCCAGCAGGCGACACAGAAAAACTGTAACAGTCTCTTTCTCTCTCTCTCTCTCTCTCGGCCTCCCTCCCACCGCGGCGTCACTTGCCCCCCTTCTCTGTCCTTCCCTCCGTCTCTCTGTGAATTAGGTCTTTAATAGGAAACACTGACAGGTGTGGGACTTTTCAAGACTTCAAGTCAAAGACTTTTACTGTCCAGTCAAAAAACGTAGAGTTTTACGTTGGACTCTGGGAGACGGAATCATTTATGAAGAGTAAAATTTTTTTTTTTTTAGTTGAGTGTAGGAAACGAATGAACAAGCTTTTTTTTTTTTTCGTTGAGTGGAGGAAACGAACGAACGATCTCTGAAAAAAGACGCTCCGTCACCACGACGACCACAAATACAGTGTAGTACTGTAGTATTTGTATCGCAAGTGCAGTATTTTTAAGCGGCCTAACAGCCTTCCTACGTCATTACAGATGTACTGCAGTACTGTGTACAGTACATGTAGAGTACACAGGTGTAATAAATATTTCAACCAAATGACATTTGAATGGAATTTACAATATTTTTCCACCGTGTATCAGTCGTGTACTTACTGTACCATCACTACTACATTACTTCAATGTATGTACTGCATATAAAACTCGCTGACTCTCACTTTAATAACTGCCCCTGCTGCTTTGTTACTGCAGTAATCCTTGTAGTATTTCGTTCACATTCGTATTCTTTTTTCAGAATGAACCTGATATTTATCTCAGATTCAACAAATATTGTTTTCTGAATTTTTAATCTGTAGTATGAAGTATTAAAGTATAGAAAAATCACAATCTACTGACCCTGACAACTGACCTGAGTGACGACCCTGAGGTCTGGGCGAGCGGAACATTCCAGAGAAATGTGGGGAAACTTTGTCCTAAATTCAGTTCTGGGTTCATTTTCACCAAAAAGTCAGTCGTAGAAAAACAGTTTATCCTGGGATATTCAAATTCACACCTGGAATTCTGGGAGTTTTTTTTTTTTTTTTGTTGAACCTGCTTCCTGTTTTTTTTTTTTTTTTTTGTTCAACCTGCTTCCTCTACCGTCTTAGGATTTCTTCCAAATCGTCTCTCAGTTTTGGGATGAAAAAATCAGAAGGAAACGTATAAAAAAAAAAAAAAGTTTCTATTTTTTTGCAGGTTTTACATTCAAATTTGGTGAAAATGATTCGATTTAAAAAAAAATTAAAAATCATTTTAAAGACTACAATGTCACTAAGTTTGAATCACTCACACCCAGGTCTCCTTCTAAACTGTACAACACCCAGAGCCATGTGTCAGTCCTGTTGGCCACCGAGAGGATCGCATCGAGCTGCTCAGTGCTGCCCCCTGGCGTTATCTTTTAGTTTTTCTTTTAATTGAATTATCACCTGATCATTTGTAAAACAATAAATAAATAAAATAAATAAATAAATAAATAAAATAACTAAAAGCCAAACCAGTGACGGCTCATTAATTCTTCCACCCACGACACACTGATGACGTGTCAGTGTTACAACGCTGCAGCCATCTAAGAGGATTGTACATGATAATAGTGCTGCAGGCTATTAGACTGAATTATAGTGTCTGGGAACCCGAGTGAGGAGGGGGGAGGGACGCGAGGGGAGGGACGGGGGGGTGATGTGCGTGCGGAGTCCGTGGGTGTTTTTTTTTTCTTTCAGCCTTTTTAATAAAAATGCAAAAAGTGTGAGTGTATGTGTGATGGGGGGTGAGGTGGCGAGGAGAGGGGGGAGAAAGGAGGAAGGGGGGTGAAAACGAGCTGCAGATGGATGAAGGCTGCAGACTGAGGTGGAGGTTTCTGCTGATCTACAGCTGAATGGACTCTGAAGAATAATTATTATAAATAAGAAGAGAAGTTGAAATCACACTGATACCCTCTTCTTCGTGCTGGAGTAGTGCGGTTTGTGTAGTGCTGGTGCTGCTGCTGTTGTTGCTGCTGAGGCTGAGGCTCCGCCACAATATCGGAGGAATGCGCTTTTGTCGCTCGCTGGGGGTGGAGTTAGAAAGTGAACGAGTGCTGCCTACAAAACAGAGAGGGAGAAGGAGAGAGAGAGAGGAGAGAGAGGGGTCGGAGCTGCTCACCTTAAACCATGGTTGTCGGTCAGACTCCTTAAAGTACTCGGCTGAATCGTTCGGCAGCGGCCGCTCCACAGACCGCCGAGCTCCGCATCACGTCGGATCCCAGGGACCGGACCAGAACCAAACTGCAGCAGAAACATTTTTCATCCAAGAAAAGTGGAGCTGGTTTATTTTTTAGTCTACTTTTCACTCACGCAAACTCCTGCCCAGAGGAGTGGGTGGTTTCATGCCCCCGGGGCTGGAAGACGCAGCGCCTGGTGGAGCATCCAGCCCGACTCCGCTCCGCTGCGCTCCTCTGGCGGGCTGAGGAGCAGCACTCCCCGGTGAGAGGAGACGGAGACCGAGCGAGCTCCAGGCGGTCGGGTTCTTTTGCAGGACTTCCAAAAAAAAAAAACCAAAAAAAAACACCCATGTTTGAAACCCCAGGATTTTAAGGGGAGAGGGGGGGTCGACGGAGGAGGGGTTTGGTTTATAGAGGAGAAAAGGAGGGAGACGGAGAAGTCACTCCACCGCCGACAGAGCTGAGTTTAACAACTACCGATTAACCGAAGGCATGCGGCTGACTGAGGTTCTCCTCCGACCCTCACCCGTCTGTTAGTTAAACCCTGGGCTGGGATGTTTGAGTCGCGTTGTTTGGTGGGGTGAAGGGACCGACAGCGAGGAAGAGAGAGGGTGAGAGACAGAGAGAGAGAGAGAGAGAGAGGAGGAGAGTCAACGGAAGGACTTCCACGGAGAGAGGGGACGGAGGCCGGGGACAGAGAGCGGGAGCAGCCGGGAGCATGGCTCTGGAAGCGCTGTCTCTCCTGGTGCTAATGAGTCTCACCTGTGCTAACCTGCTCCAGGTGTCGGCCAACAGACACTCGGTGTACTGGAACAGCTCCAACATACAGTAAGACCCCCACTCATCTCTCTGTGTCTGTGTGTGTCTGTGTTTCTTCCATGGACTCGTCCAGACCCTGATCCTGGTCTTGGGTCCAAACCCTGGTTCTGCTCGGTCTTGATTTCTCTTCTGGTTCGACTTGAACGGTTGAAATGACAGACGAAGTCAAGGTTAAGGTCAGGGCTGAGCATCGACTGAAGAGAAAAGGTTCAGAACTACAGTTGGTTCTAAACATAAGGCTAGTTGGACAAAAAGTTTAAATTTTTTTTTTTTTTTTTTTTGTAGACATCTTGAATTTAAGCCTTTGTATTTGGGTGAGCAGTGTGGGAGAATCCCCTCACCGTTGAATTCTTCTTCCACACCAGGTCACCATCTGCTTCTGTTGAAGACTTAAATCTAGTTCCTTTTAAATGTTCATTCAGTTTTAGGGAAAAAAAATAAAAAATAAAAAAAATCAGATGGAGTGAAATGAAAATCTGTCAGAAAATTTCAATTTTAAAAAATTTTTTTTAACCCGTTTCCAATTAAAATTTGCAAAAATTGGGAAAAAAAATTGTCCGTTAAAAAAATCCGCAAGAAAGTGATAAAATCGTCAAAGCTGTTGTCGACGCCTGGGAAACGTGTTTTAAAATATTTTTAAAATTTAAATCTGACGTTTATTTTGAAAATTATAACGACCGTCTTAAAACTATTTGACTGATTTGTCTGTGTCTGAGCTTGATTTGTTTTTCACCTCCATCTAATCTGTTTTTATTTGGAGAACACAACTTTAGAGACGTTTGTGGCTGACCTGAGATCAGTGTTAGTTTTCGGGCCTCCAGGTCTTTGTCGTGTTGTTTGTCGTCCACTCCAGCGTTTGGAGTTCGGACCGTCTGTGTGCGTACGTTTTCTCGGCCGTCGTTGTTCCCCCAACCGCCTATTAACCACGTAAAGGATAATGAGCGGAAAGAAGTATTTGGAAGGGCAGTTACTGTACGAACGTTGCTACTAATGCTAGGTGTATGACGTTAGCGTTATCGACCGTGAAGGAAAGGAAAAGCCCAAAAAAATTTTCTTCAATTTCCTTTGTCTTGTTCGCAGTGAATTCTTTTCTAACCCGTACTCTGCTACCATTGCATTCGTAAATTCTACGCAAAAAGGTGCAGGCTAAAGCAAACCTAGCACCTACGAGGCTAAAGGCGTGGTACGCCCCAGGAGAGATCGACCTCAGAAATCGACCTCAGAAATGATTGAAATTCTCGCAGCCAGCTGCGTTGAAATCCTCGCTCGGTTCTCGTTTCCTGTTTTCCGTAAGGAAACACTATTTTTCTGAGCCCGACTTTTTTTTTTTTTTTCCCGTCAGACCCCCGACCGACTGGGAAGTCTTGGTGGCTGTAAACCATTTTCCCGACACCTTTACACGCACAGCTGGTTCTACAGTGTGTCACAGCGCTGCGGCGCACACCGCAGAATCAAACCGCAGATTCAAGTTGGACCTTAGTTTGAGCCGTTTATGACCGAGTGGTTAGAAGAAAAAAGAAAAGAAAAATGAATAAGACGTGATTCCTCCTCTCCTCTCCCCCCTTCTCTCCCCCCTTCTCTCCCCCCTCTCCCTCTCACTCAGGGCTCTCACTGCTGTCTCTCCTCTATCTGGTTCAATTAGGCCCACTTTTTCATCCTGACCCCATTGTGTTGTTGCAGTGTCACTGTTCAATCTCTCCTCCTCCTCACTGGCTCTTCAGCGTCTCCTCTTCCAGCTCCTATCCCTCTCTCGCTCCCTTTCTTGTTTACACCGAGTCAGTTGGCCTTTTTCTTATCCCTCTAATCCTTCGCTCTGCTCCTCGATCTCAATTCGAGTGAAGTAAGAAAAAAAAACAAAAACGTTTGACTTCTTTTCAGTTAAATCTCCCGTTTTTTACCTCCGTCAGTGTGGACTCTGCTGACGCTCCATCACTTCCCTGTATCAGTGTTTCAGCAGGTCTTAATCTGTCAATCCCTGATTTATTTGTGAGATTATTTGTTCGACTTAAACGCGTGTATATTCAGTTTCAGACTTTTAAATAAGTCAAGGATTTGAAGTCGTAAAAATCATGAAAACCGAGAGAAACTGACGTCTGTTTTTCACTCATTTTTTTTTAACTAACGCTTGTCAATATCTGGGCTTGGACTTTACTGGACTTCTAAAGCAGACGTTTCATTCCGTTTTTTGTTTTTTAAATTTTTTATAGCAGCCAGGTCTTCACTGAGCCCTGTTTTAATGTCGACTCTCCCTGAACTCCTCTGTTCTCTCGCAGCAACTTTGAATCTCCAAATTAAAAGAAAAGTGTAAAAAGAAACGTGAATTCATGACGACTGCACTCGAAGTACGGCGTACAGTGAAAGTGGAGGGAAAAAAACAAGGTTAGCGTTGGTCGTACGACTGTGTAAACTCAATTACTTCTCCGTAATGCGAGAAAATTATTCCCACATTATGGAGAAACTCATTTTGTGAACACAGTCGTCGGTAGAGCAGCATCACAGCAGATCTTTTCACTCCACGACTCGGAGACACGTTCAGGTTTTTAACTTTTTTTTTCCCACTGCATATTAAATAGATAATGAATGGAAATGAAATTCCACCTTTAGTTTTTATGAGACGCAAATGTTGATGAAGATAAAATGTAGAGGAGCAAAAAAAAAGGCCTGAAGCTGTAAAAAAAAAAAAAAAACTCTGAACCTGGGTGTGATCAGGTCGACTGAACGACGGTGTTGTCGACTGTTGTTGTACAGTTGCTGTTATTAAAAAGCTGCAGCTGCGGTTTCAGACAGTGAGGAGCAGCAGAGGGAGGACTGAAGCTGGTCGGAGCGGCCCGACCTTTGACCCCACAGTCCGGGCCTCTGAGCAGCGCCGGGCCCCGCGGTCCCTGTCGGTGCCGGTGGCAGCGTCGTCTTAGCCTCGGCTGAGAGTCCCAGTGTGAGTCTGTGGTTAATTAAAGGACGCGGTGTCTCAGCGGAGCGACCTCTGCCCTGATTCTGCCTGTTCTCACCCCTGACTCGCTGACTGCTCAGTCAGTGGAGCTACGGTAACGTTCAGCCTGGGAAAAAAAAAATCAATCAAAAAAATAAAAAAAAAGACGGGAAAATGATTGTGTCAATCTGACAAAAAACAAACTTAAAAAAAAATGCGTCAACTTAAATAAATTAAAACCAAATTTATTCTCTGACACATTTGAATAATAACGTTAATGATAAAATAATAATAAAAAAAATCAATCATCAAAAACATAGATTATACATAGTGGCGAAGATTAACAGCTTGCTAGTTGCTAACTTACTATTAGCTCACAGGTGAGCTAACAGTAACGATTTTAACGATCCATAAAGTCAAAGTCTTTAACTAAATTGTAACTGAGTCGTAAAATTATTTCACAAAATATTTTCTAATTTCAGTTTAGTTTTAGTCTGCGTTGAATTTACTTCAGTAAAAGTTAAGACGTATAACGACGTGTAACGTTAGCATGTTAGCAATTTGATTTGATAAGTAAAAGTTAAGACGTATAAAGACGTGTAACGTTAGCATGTTAGCAATGTTCATGATTTGACATTTTATTAAAATGTAAAAATGTATTTTACCCGTCAACGTTCGATAACAAACTCAGTTTGATCGAACAGTCGTCCCCTTCATAATTAATATTTACAACACGGTCGTAACGAGGACGACAACGCGTTTTACTTTCGCTAAAGTTGAGCGTTAAATACCTGGATGCGTCGCAGACTCTACTTCACCCAGAGAACTTTCTGTTTCTTCTACTACACACGACACACATTCACTATGATTGGATCTCTGTTTGTTTGCCCCGCCTTCTCACCAACACACACACAGCTCTGATTGGCCCTCAGGCTCATTTTATTATCTCCAGTTTTTCTCTGCGTATTTTCTCCTCCTCTTGGTTTTGTTTTTTGGTCTCGGAGTCGATTATTCAGCAGCTAACGTAGCCGTAGCCCTCGCCGTAGCTCACTAAAACTTTTCTTATTTCTCCGACGCGTCGTGGTCAACGACAGACATCCGTGTCCACAGCTCTCACTTTGACCTCTGTGATGTCGGTGTGTGTGTGTGCGGCCGTTGGCAACTGGCCTCCGTGGGGCAGCGTTGAGGTTTAGGAGAACCAATCACACGCCCTCGTTTATCTGTCGCTGCCAGTGGTAAACACGGTGTAACGCCTCAGGACTCCGGAAGGTTCCTCACAAGAATGGTGACCCGCGGCCTCTCATCAACTACCGGAGACACACACACACACACGTACACACACACACACACACACGTGTGTGTCTTTGACTGAGTGTAAAAACTCTTTTTTAAAAATCAGGATTATTTCCTGTATTTACATTTTACCACCAGCAGGCTGTCAACGCCGCCCGTCAATCAGTCCTCACAGCTATACCTGGGCATGAATATGTGTGTGTGTGTGTGTGTGTGTCCAAGTGCAGATGTCTTTGTTCGCCGTCGTGTGACCGAAACACAAACCCATCCATCAGCCGTTAAATCACACATTATCTTCCTCCACCTGGCAATTAACCACTGCTGTGAGCCTGAGTGTGTGTGTGTGTGTGTGTGTGTGTGTGTGTGTGCACCAGGGTAATCTAATAATGCAGCCGTTAACTGATCTGCATCATAGATGGATCTTAATTTATCGGCCGAAATTTTCAGAAGCAATTAGGTTTGGAATTGCCCTTTAATAATAGTTGAATTAGAATTTAAAATATATATATACGTGTGTGTGTGTGTGTGTGTGTGTGTGTGTGTGTGTGTGTGTGAGACACAGTCACCTGAGTGGACACCACTGGAACTGAGTTTCCTCCACACAGACGTGGACGTTCCCGCGGCGTCAGTCGATGGACGCAGCACGGAGACACGTCACACGAGGCAGACAGGGGGCGCCATAGGGAGGAAGTGTGAGACGGGTTTTAGTGGAGAATGAGCTACGAATGAAAACAGATGAGGTTTTTGGTTCTGGATTCTGAGGAGGAGTCGTCGTAGGATCGATAACAAC